GGGGCTTCTCATGATAGAATATCTACCCCCACTAAGAATTCTATCAGAATGAAGGGTTATCACAAGCCCTCCCTTCTACAATATCTAGATTACCAGAAAGAAAAGAGGGAATTTAGCATAATGCATAAACTTGTCAAATCACTAAATTGTATACCGGAAACTAATGTAGCATTGTGTGTCAATTATACTCAAATAAAAAAAAAAAATAGGGAACTTAAATACCTGTCCAGTAATTACTAGTTAGAACTGCTGTGAAGGGAGAATAACAGAAATCTGAAATCAGGAGGAGAACAAGGAAATTCTCCCCAGATCTCAGCCCAGTTTATGGACACATCTTTCAGATTCCTGGGCTGTAACTGGTTATTTTCAAACAATTCTGATACACTCATTACACTCCCTGGAGAAAATATCTGAGAACCAAAGACTCTGTTGTTTCACTCAAAAACAAAAGTCCAGGGCGCCTAGCTGGCTCAGTAGGAAGAGTATGCAACTCTTGATCTTGGGGGTCATGAGCCCCACGTTGGGTTTGGAGATTACTAAAATAAAATTAAAACAAAAACACAAAAACACAAGAGTCCTTTAGGTGAAGGAGTATATGCTTAATGCCATTTCTTGGTTTTGCTTTAGATAATTTTTTATACAAGATATCAAGATAACAAGGGTATCAAAGGACATAAATGTGACACAGAGCTCCTCTTCAGCACATCCTTAGAACAGAAAAATCTGAGTGAGGATGGAGCTTATTTCACACTCCCAGTCCCTACAGGCTGTTCATTCTGTGTTTCCATAGTAAGAGGTGCTCACCAATATCATACCATTATTCGGTATTCAATTTGCTTGACTGTTTCCACTAGTCTGTGAGGTCTAGGAGAGCTAGGATAGAGGGTTATATCTCTACCCCTTCCCCCACCAGACCCTTTTAACATTACAGTAAACAATAGAGTGACCAATAATTGTAACTGAATGAATAAATGGGGCATGCTAAACAGCCTCAGCCTCGGCAAGCCAGCCTTCACCATCCTGTATTCTGAGAACTTATATACAGGGGCTGTACTGAGGGAATCAGCCCTAGTTATTCCTTATACCGAGATAACCTTATTCTGAACCAGGTCACCACTACCCTGGCCATATCGACTAGGCCAGAAGATCTGAGGGCAGTCAATCTATAATACTTGAGAGCAGCCTATAATATGAGAATTTTGTCTAAGGCCAATAATACTAATTAATTAAGCCAGTTAGGGTCTCTCCCTGGGAAATTTGACTTCAATACACAGAGAAAGTCATCAGCTAGTAGCAATAGGTAAAAGTTCAAAGGCACAAAGGAAAAGGTAGACAATTGAGGCCATGAGGCAAAGGGGGGGGTCATGACTGAGTTCAATAAAAACCTGGAGAGAAGAAAAGAGTGTGACTGTAGGTTCTTAGAGGCAGAAATAATAAATTCTTGCTTCTGGTGGATAAAAGTATAACTTGTTAACCATAGCTTCCTTGAATCCTGGGTGGCCAAGAGTACATATTTCTTTAACCAAATATGAATTGAGCATCTACCATGTGACAGATGTGCCATGAATTTTAGTGGTGAACAAGACAAATCTATTTTGTTCCCATGGAGTTTTGAATGTAGCTTCGAAGGTTAGAATCTAGAGGTAGAACATTGACGTTGAACAAACACAAACAGTGGTAATACATGTTACAGAGAAGTAGTGTAGCCTCTCATAGACGCAGATAGTATCTTGAAATATATTTTTCATTGGCCTGTTTTTTCCTAAAATGCCTGATGATATGGCCTTTCCAGAATTCCAAGAGGCCTAATTTCCATTCGAGATTCTTTTCATTCTTATTTTCATCTGTAATGCTACATGAAAAGGCTAGTTCCCAGGGCCCATAAAATCTTCAAAATACAAATTTGCTCCAAAATGCAAACAGGAAACTGTAAAATCTAAACAAATAAATGTTTTATCCACAGAACACAGCACTAATTCAGATCAGTTAAGTGCAACTCTTACTACCACAAGTTACCACTAATTCAGAGGCAGCTCAAAACAACTCTTACTACCACAAGTTAACACATAATGGTGTTTACAATATGCTAAGTATTGTTCAAAGTGCTTTATAAAAATCAGCTCACATTAATCCTCACAACAGCTCTATACAATAAGAACTAGTATTATTATTCTCATTTTACAGATGAGGAAACTGAGGCAGAGAGTGGTTATATAACTTAGCCAAGGTCAACAGCCAGTAAGTGTCTGTATTGGTCCTAGAGTCTCTGTGTTCTAGAGTCCAGATTCAATTTAATTTAATGTGGTTACATAAGTAAATTTTCTTCCAAAATATCATTCAGCAAATATTTGTTGAGCATTTATTATATGCGGGTGCTGATCTAGCTGTTAGGGACAAAACAGTGAACAAAACAAAACAAAAAATCCCTGTCTTCATGGAGGGGATATGGATAATATACAAGAAGTAAAATAAATGGTACATTAGATGGTATAAATGCTATGGAGAAAATAAAGCCAGGAAGAAGGATGGGGAGTGCTAGGGGTGACACTGGGGGTACAATTTTATTTTTTTTATTTTATTTTTTTAAAGATTTTACTTATTTGACAGAGAGAGACACAGCGAGAGAGGGAACACAAGCAGGGGGAGCGGGAAAGGGAGAGGCGGGCTTCCTGCGGAGCGGGGAGCCCGATGCGGGGCTCGATCCCAGGATGACCTGACCCGAAGCCAGGCGCCTAACGACTGAGCCACCCAGGCACCCCGGGGGTACAATTTTAAATGGGGTGTTCAAGGACATAACTGGAGTACGTGATGTTTGAGCAACAACCTAAAAGTGAGGGAATGGGGGCCTCACTTTTAGGAAGCTTCTCCCTCTCCCACTCCCCCTGCTTGTGTTCCCTCTCTCTCTGTCAAATAAATAAATAAAATCTTTAAAAAAGGGTGAGGGAATGTGCCATTCTAAGTATGTCTTGTAGAATATTCAGTAGAGTAAGAGCCCTGGGTTTGGATTCTAGGACCCATGACCGTATTAAAATAGCCCTGGAGTTACATTTAGTAACTTTCTGGGATTTGCGATATAAATAAAGTGCCTAACTAGCACATTCTACAAGGGTTCCAAGTTGCTAGGTTAGGAAGGGCGGAATAATGCAATTGAATGAGCATTATTAAACGAGCAACAGCCTCCTCATTTATTTTGAGCTGGAATTTGTGTAGGATTACTTTGTGACTTGGCAATGTTGAAAACTTCATGAACTCATTCTTTCCATTTTCTAAAGTCAATACACTATTTTACTCTTCCTGGGTTACCAACTGATGTCGTATAGTTGGGTGGAGTATCCCATATATGTTTATTAGGTCTAATGATTTATAGTGTTGTTCAAGACCTAATCTTTTTTTTTTTAAGATTTTATTTATTTATTTTAGAGAGAGAGAGAGAGAGAGAGAGAATGAGTCGGGGGAGGGGCAGAAGGAAATCTCAAGCAGACTCTGCACTGAGCACGGAGCCCAACGCAGGCCTGGATCTCATGACCCTGAGATCATGACCTGAGCAGAAATCAAGAAGAGTCAGATGCTTAACCGACTGAACCACCCAGGTGCTAATATCAATTTTCTTACTGATTCTTCTAGATGTTTTACTCATTATTGAAAGTAGGGAAGTTTCTAACTATTACTGTAGAACCGGCTATTTCTCCCTTTAACTCTGTCTATATCCTTTTTATATAATTTGATTCAGCATTTTCTTGGTTGCTGTAAACCTTTGACTATTTCCCAGAGTTCTGACAAACTTGCTTCAAATAGTTTCTGCTTATTTTTCAATGTTTCTGGAGGCTTGGCATGGCCTACTCCACCAATTTGAACATGGGTCTCCCAAGGTGACTTTTTGACAAAGCTCTCACCAGAGCAGAAAAAAAGCAAATCTGTTTTCTAACATGGCATATTTATAGATACAAACATAAAAGCTGACCTTCTGCAGTAGGGGCTTGAAGCCTCATTCCCTGCATCTAGCTCTTCCATTTCATGTCAGCCCCTGAGGAATCATAGAACTCCATGAAATGTAGTTTAAAAAGCACTATAATAAGTCATTATAACCCCCTGATAGTTACGTGTCTGGTGTTTATGATCTGGTGTTAGAAACAGTTAAATAGGGATGCCTGGGTGGCTCAGTCAGTTAAGTATCTGTCTTTGGCTCAGGTCATGATCCCAGGGTCGTGGGATGGAGTCCCATACCAGGCTCCTCGCTCAGCAGGGAGCTTGCTTCTCCCTCTGCCTGCCACTCCCCCTGCTTGTGCTCTCTCTCTCTCTCTGACAAATAAATAAATAGGAAAAACCACAAAGAATAAAATGATCTGTGATCCCATCTTCCAGAGATAACTGCTGTTAATATGTTGACATTTTTCTTATTTATAAAATAAGTCTAATTCTGGTTAACATTTTATATATAGCAGTTATCACCTTGGCATCCACTTAACATTGTTATTCTATTCACACCTATGTTAAGGTCGTCATGTTTACTCTTGGATGCCTATTACATAATTTTATGAGAGAAGACTTTTCACGTGTTGACTAACCTGTCAATCTCCACCCTCAGTGATTGTCCCTTCCAATACCTTTCAATAAAACAAAAACAGGTTGATCACTCAGTTGATCAGTGCAATGAGATTTCAAGATTGGAGATTTCAACATCTTTCTCATCTATGCTTACCAATTTAAGCCTGGCCCTATTGAAGTTGTTTTTACACTTTAAAAAGCAGCAAAATGCCTTCTTTATTTTGAAACGAAATCTTTTATGGAACCTAAAATTTAAACAAACAAAACTGAGCTTTTATGGTTGAAGTGTGCACACATGTGTAGATGGAAGATGGAGGTAGTTTGTCCAACAGCCAACCCTGCTTAGCCTTCCTAACACCAAAACCATGATGCAGAACCTCAGGGCTCTGGGACAGAGTGTTTGAACATCCCATTGCTCTGTTACATGTCCTCAGTCAGTACCTCTAATGAATCGAATGACTATTGTACCACCTCCTATGGCTCTTCAGACAGTGCCTGACACTCGGGAGGCATTCAAAGAGTATTTATTGAAATTAAAGACAAGAAATCCAAAAGTTGGGAATGTATTAGTGCGTATCTATTACTAGCACTTGAAAAAAAAAAAAAAAGCTCAGAAAATATCCCCACTGAGAGTGGAAGATAAGTAGTAACATATCTTAGTGGTGTCACTATACTATTGTGTTACAACAGAGGTAATTCAACAAGTATTTTTTGACCAGAACTGTATTAGTGGTTGCAGAATATGACAAAATATAATTGAATAAATATTTGATTGTTTCTGTGTTCAAGGTACTGTTTGAGGGACTGTGGAAGTTACAAAGATGGTAAAAGTATAGTTTCCCTTCTAAAGGATACTTAATACTCTAATAGGGGAGAAAACTTACATAACGTTGTGCTATAAATCAAGCCAATGTGCCAGGCAATGTCCAGAAAATTTTGGTTTTTTCTGAGTTGAAGGTAGGAAAAAAAATTTTTTTAATATCTTTTTTTGTAAAGATTTTATTTATTTATTTGACAGAGAGAGACACAGGGAGAGAGGGAACACAAGCAGGGGGAGTGGGAGAGGGAGAAGCAGGCTTCCCGCCGAGCAGGGAGCCCGATGTGGGGCTCGATCCCAGGACCCTGGGACCGTGACCTGAGCCGAAGGCAGAGGCTTAAGGACTGAGCCACCCAGGCGCCCCGAAGGTAGAAAAATTTTGAAAAATGACCAGCCCAGGAGACAGCCTCATCAATAGATGGCTGTTATACAATGCAGAGGGTAATAATTAATGCAGAGGAAGGTAAAGAAAGAAAGAAAGAAAGAAAGGAAGAAGTAAAGAAGGAAAGAAAGAAAGAAAAGGAAAAGAAAAGAAAAGAATGAAAGCAAATACTTCACTGCCTTGATCTTGAGGTGATAACCCTCTCCCCAAGAAGAAAACTTGGTGTACAAAATAGGTAGAGACAAATTAAATGTGAAGTTTTCACAACTAGTATGTTAGAAATACTGAGAATGGAGAGATCAATGTGAATTCTAGAGGGAAACTTCATGAAGTCAGCATTTGAACTGAAAAAGGACTGGTACGATTAGGATGGGTGGGGAAGCATCACAGGTTAATGAGAACAACGTGCACCAAAGCCCAAAGGCCAAGAGGAGAACAGTCTCCATAAGAAAGATGGAAGACAGGGCGCCTGGGAGGCTCCATTGGTTGTTCGACTGCCTTCGGCTCAGGTCATGATCCTGGAGTCCTGGGATCGAGTCCCGCATCTGGCTCCCTGCTCAGCGGGGAGCCTGCTTCTCCCTCTGGCCCTCCCCCATCTCATGCTCTCTCTCATTCTCTCTCAAATAATAAATAAAATCTTAAAAAAAAAAAAAAACAGATGGAAGACAGCAATCTGGCTGGAGCAAAGGGTGTCTGCTGGATGCGAGGTTGGCTGAGTAGGGTGGAGACCGATTAGTGGTGGGGTACATGGATGGCAGCTGCTGCAGGCCAAGATGAAGATAAAAGGGAAGCTGCAAAAACAGCAATTAGCTATGATGATGACTCAATTCTCAGAGGAAACTATAATAGAAGTGTATAGCCGTGATGATGGAAGAGAAAAAACAAAACAAAACAAATGGATAAAATTCCCAGAAGACAGAGAAATAACTTGTGGTACCAGTCAACAGGGTTATTGGAACACTCATTCAATTTGGAAGGGAGACAAAAATGGAATGAAGATAAGAAAGGGATAACTTAAGAAAACCCATGTTTTCAGAGGAAATTTGGCAAATTTGCAGTTTTTTGCTGTTGGAGAGGTTACTCTATAAAATTAATTCCTAGAATGATCATGAGGATGATTTATTATATGGACATAAAAGCTTGACTGCTGCCTGAAGAAATCTGCATTATCACCTTAGGTTAAAGCACAATTTATCACCTCCTTGTTAAGAACTTACTGCACTTCGGGGCGCCTGGGTGGCTCAGTCGTTAAGCGTCTGCCTTCGGCTCAGGTCATGATCCCAAGGTCCTGGGATCAAGCCCCGCATCGGGCTCTCTGCTCCACGGGAAGCCTGCTTCTCCCTCTCCCACTCTCCCTGTTTGTGTTCCCTCTCTCGCTGTGTCTCTCTCTGTCAAATAAATAAATAAAATCTGTAAAAAAAAAACAAAAAAAAGAACTTACTGCACTTCACTTGAACTTCAGAAGTTTGGAATGTCTTCCTAAACATACCTATCTTTGATCTGATTGTTGTGGATTCTCATACACTATCTTCTCGACCCTAGCTCCAGTCAGATTAACTGTGTTGACAGTATTTTGAATGTGCTGGATCGTGGTTGCCGTGTAATAATTCATTCTGTGGCTTCTGGGGCATCTTTTTCACTTGGACATATCCCGCAGAAAGATTTAAGGGGGTGGGGAAAATGCTGAGCTCCTGCCTCACTAACAGTGTGCCTGGATTTCAGTAAAGTACTTTTTGAAATTAAACTGCTTTCAATTTAAGGACATAGCAAATTCTACCACATACTCCATATTCATTTCTGTCATGTGGAATAATCAAGAATTACTGGAATTTTAACAGGGGTGAAGCCAGAAGAAGTGACAGCCTCTTTCAAATGAATTGAGTCCAAATGACCCCTCCCTGTTTGCCTTAACTGCTCTCCCAAATGTGACAGACCTTCCTGACTCAAGAGATCAGACTCTAGTACCAACATCCTCTCACAGATGAGCATGTGATTCTTTGCCAAGGACAAATTTAAAACCATTTCAGGGCGCCTGGGTGGCTCAGTTGGTTAAGCGACGGCCTTCGGCTCAGGTCATGATCCTGGAGTCCCGGGATCAAGTCCCACATCGGGCTCCCTGCTCAGCAGGGAGTCTGCTTCTCCCTCTGACCCTCTTCCCTCTCGTGCTCTCTATCTCTCATTCTCTCTCTCTCTCTCAAATAAATAAATAAAATCTTTAAAATAAAATAAAATAAATAAAACCATTTCAGAACTTGTTCAGTTTATGTCAGGCTACTTCTAATAATTTCAATACTTTTTATCGATCCTATTTCAAAAGTGAGAAGCAATCGATTCAACCTTGCCACTGAGAAGAAGGCTTCCATCATTTGCATGGGGCAATAGGTGACTTGCCTCCACTAATTTCTATAAAGCTTCCATGTCACTTATGATCAGGGCCTTTGCCAATCTACTACCAGCCTATAATCTGGGCTACAACACACAGTCTAGCTAATCTTCAGGTAATGATCTTCTCATTCCCCGAATGTACAAAGCAAAAGGACAATGGTAGTTTTCTTTAAGGGAGTATACTGTCTTTGTCTCTATTATTGGCTAACAGATTTGGAGGTAAAAGAAAGCAAGGGTGGGGCATCTGTAGAACAGCATTAAAAATGCTGGATTTGGAATCAATATTAGGCTTTATAATTTTTTTTAGTAACCTTAGACTATGTACTCCTTTTGTGTCTCATTTTCAAATTCTGTAAAATGGAGTAATCACAGCTTCAAAGAGGTTTCATGAAGATTTCGTGGTACACAGTCATATCTTCATTCATAACATACTAAAAGAACCACTAATACATACCTGTGTTTTCTAAACAATCCAAGATTCATAATGTGACAAGGGAGAAAATATTGAAAATTGGAGCCATCAGGGAAAATCCAGGCAGTATAGTGGAGTTCACAGCATGTCACCCCAAAATATGCTGCTTTGTCATACTGATTATTTTAAGTTAAAGGAGCTTGAGAAACAGCAGGTGCAAGAGGGGCACTCTGACCTTCCTTAATTCTTCCTGACAGGAGATAAAACTCCCATGTGAAAGGTGCCCTCCCTCTACCAGGAGGAAGAAAAACAGTCTTATCACCAGAGATGGGGAAATCCGGCTGAGAAATCTGTACAAACCAACCTTGTTACACTAATGTTTATCTTCCTAGGCATTTCTCCACAATTTACTACTGCTGGCCCAAACCCCTTTGTCTCATTTGGTTCTTTGTCTAAAAGGTATAAAAGCTTTCTGTTCTGGTCACTTCTTCGAGTCTTCATTCTCTTGCCAAGGTTCTCATGTACGTGTAAATAACAATAATAATACGTGTGTGCTTTTCTCCTGTTAATCTGTCTTATGTCAGTTTAATTTTTAGGCCCTGCTGGAGACCCAAAGAGGGTAGGTAGAGGAGAATTTTTCCTCACCTACAGTTCTGCTGACAAGGATGGGATGTCACTGGTTAGACACTGCTCACTCCAGAGCTGCTACAGCGGAGAGATCCTGCTGATGTGGAGAACAGAGGCAAAAGGAGTATAGAAAAAATCAAACTTCCTTATAACTTACAGCCCACTGACAAGTACCTGGGACAGGCAGACCTTCCTCCAGGAACTCAGCTGCCTCAGTGTTAATACTTGGCTAAAGGCAAAGGCAACCTTAGCTTGACATTAGCTGGAACTCCAGGATCCTTAAGTGTTCTTTAACATATAAAAATCCCTTTGGAAACTTCCTTTATCTCTACCCACCCACCCCCAGGATGTATGTTAGCACTTATCCTCCAAACATATGGCCCACTGATATACATCTGAAGGGTCTCATGAATAAGGTTTTACTAGACAGTAGTAAATGACCTTATCCTTTTTTTTTTCTTTTTTCTTTTTTTAAATTTTATTTGTCAGAAAGAGAGAGAAATGGAGAGAGAGCACAAGCAGGGGGAGCTGTAGGCAGATGGAGAAGCAGGCTCCCTGCTAAGCAAGGAGCCCGATGTGGGACTCGATCCCAGGATCCTGGGATCATGACCTGAGCCGAAGGCAGATGTCCAATTGACTGAGCCACCCAGGCTTCTCTGTAAATGACCTTATCCTAACAGCAGCTAGCCTCTGGAGGTCCTGAAAACCTTACTTTCAAATTCCTTGGAGACTTAAGCTATCCCTAACCCCCTCCAACTTGAAAGTATATAATTAGTCACTCCTCACAACCTCAATGCAGCTTTTTTTTTAATTTTTTTTAAAAAGATTTTATTTATTTATTTGTCAGAGAGAGAGAGAGAGAAAATACACAGGGGGAGAGGCAGTGGGAGAGGGAGAAGCAGGCTCTCCACTGAGCAGGGAGCCCGATGCGGGGCTCCATCCCAGGACCCTGGGATCATGACCTGAGCCGAAGGCAGTTGCTTAACCAACTGAGCCACCCAGGCGCCCCAATGCAGCTCTTTCTGGCCACAGTCTTGTCCCTGTGCTATAATAAAACTACCTTTTTTGCACCAAAGACATCTCAAGAATTCTTTCTTGACCATTCATTCCCGGATCCCAACATTTCATATCACTGGGACCTCTGACATAAGCCAACACAAGGTAAAAATTTTTACCAGTGTCCTAGGTCTCTGCCTGTAAGATCCAATGAAAGCAAAGTGGTAAGAGTCTCTCCTCATGTTTTTCCTTTTTCAAATTTAGATTAGCAGGAGAAAACTGGTGTGAACTAGTTCTTCAGGCACAGTGATTTATGAGTATTCCTGTTTTTTCTAATGGCTGTAAAAAAAAAAAAAAAAGTAAAGCTTAAAAAACAATCTCCCTAGACCTCAGCACCCTCAGAGGGTTCACCTGGTTTTCCCCTTCTGGGGGATAATACCCCACTGTTCTTGTTCTGAAGAGGATGCAGCCTTAGAAGATGTCCCAGCTAGCGCCTGGGCCTCACATGCAAATAAAATTGGACTATTACAGCAACGCAAGTTGTGCACATTACCTGGAGAAGGAACAAACTTCTCCTACCGGTAGCCCAGTGCTGCCCCCATGAGTGCACAGCGAGGCATTGAAACTATTCTCTTCTACAGCAGGGTATTCTTTATTTCCTTGCTCTGTTAACACTGCAATCTTACCAGTAAAGAAAGGGAAATTTGATTCAGACTGGAATCAAATCTATTGATTTGTATAAGGTCTGAGAGCCATTAATGCCTTTGTAATTCCTCAACACCCCATAGTCCCTAATTCAGCTACCATTCTTTTTAAGATTTTATTTATTTATTTTAGAGAAGGAGAGAGA